TCAGACAGCTCCCTTTGTCTTGCTGCCTGTGCTAGGTGGCTTTGGTGGGATGGAGCCTCTCTGCTTAGATGGAGGGTGAGGGGTGGGGGTAGGAACTTCATGAATACTCCCGGCTGGTAGGTTTTTCTGATTGTGGCGATCAGCGGGTCTGCAAACCGGTACCTCAGGCGGCTTCTGCCTGGGTGATCTGCAGGCAGCCCCCTGTGTATCTGGGATTCCGGCAGCCCCTGCTGGGCCAGCTGGCCCGGGTGTGGCGCACTGCCATGGGGCCAATGAAGGTTGGGGGAGGGGTTTTCCCTCTTCTCTGTTCTGAAATTTTTCTTTTCCTCACTTTTTTGTTATTTTCTACCTCCTGTTTTTCTGTGTTTGTCTTTTTGTTGTTGTAGGTCTCTTGGGGAGATTAAGTGTTGGAACTTGAACTCTCTTTTTGGTTGGGGAGAGCTGTGACGTTTCCCTACTGCTCCGTTGCCATCTTGGTCCCCACTCTGATTAATTTCTCTTTTGAGTGTATTTTGGTCCTTTTGGTTTCTTTGACATTGCTTTGGTTGAAGGTCCAGGCACTAAGTAAATAGCATCAGAGATGGAGAGCCTACATGGCCTCCTTTCTTCCTTATGCAGACGTTTTCAGTTTTCCTCATTTAGTACAGGGTGAACTATAGATGATCACATAGAGCCTTTGTGATGTTGAAGCATGCCCTCCCTTCTCTTCCTAGTTTCTTTGGTGCTTTTATTATGAAGTGATGTTGACTTTTGTTCAAGGGGTTTTGTGCATGCATTGATATGATCATGTTATTTCTGTTTTCTTTTATAAATGCTCTTGAGGTGTGCAGTTGATGTTAGGGTTTGATTTCAGACTCTGTCTCTTTAAGAGCTATATTATTGATTTGTGTATATTAATTTTCTTGTGTCTTATTTATTTTTTAACCTTACTTGGTTGTGCAGAGGAGTTGTTGTTCAAAAAATTTGTACATGGCTGAGCGCCAGTGGCTCAGGCCTGTAAATCCAGCTACTCAGGAGGCTGAGATCTGAGGATCATGTTCAATGCCAGCCAGGGAAGGAAAGTCGTGAGACTCTTATCTCCAGTTAACCACCAGAAAAGCTGAAGTGGTGCTGTGGCTTAAGTGGTAGAGTGCTCCCCTTGAGCTGAAAAGCTGAGGGACAGCACTCAGGGCCAGAGTTCAAGACCCACAAATGAACAAACAAAAATTATACATGATGACAATGAGTCTTGAAGCTTCCCACTAGTTGTATAGTTCATTTTTCACATAGCAGGGAATATCACTGCTGTGTTGTTCACAATTCATTCTGCATTTTAGGGAGACTATGACTACCTCTGTCTTCTCACACATTAAACTTCTGCATAAGTCACTTGTATACTCCTTGAACATTTTTGGTAGATTCTAGCATGTCTATAAAATTTATTGAAGCTGCACACTTGTGACTCAGGCCTGCAGTCCCAGATACTTTGAAGGATGAAATAGGATGATCACAGTTCAAATCCACCCTGGGCAGGAAAGATTGTGAGACTCTCATCTCCAATTAACCAGCAAAAACCCCAGATAAGGAGCTGTGGCTACAGCTATGGCAAAAACAGTTCAGGAAAAGCATCCATGTCCTGAGTTCAAGCCCCAGAACCAGCACAAATCCAAAGAAACCAAAGGAACAGCAACTAAAAACAAATGCTTAATTGTAAATGCTCCTCCAACAATTTCATAAAAGTGAAGGAACTCTTGAGAACTCAGCCTATAGAAGCAAAACATGCTATCAAAACAGAGTAAGATGACTATCAGTATCAAGGAACTCAGAAAATGATTAATGAATGGACTTGAGATAACACACATAGGAAAGGCTCAGAAATGTGCGTGATAACACATTAGAAAGTTCACACATGATGAGCAAGTTGATTTCACTCCAAGGGTACAAATTGGCTCACACAAACAGGAAATATAAAAGTCCATGAAGACAACCAAGGATTGAAAAATACTCCCAGAGGAGCCAAGGGAATATACAGACTTATAAACAGGAAAATAATAGGGGGAATAGACTCCAAACAAGGTCCAATGTCCAGTGGTAGGACAGAAGGCTTGAGGAGCATCAGCCAGTGAGCAAAGGGGTGTGGTACTGAGTTAGAGTTATATTCTCTGACCAAAATACAGAATAAAACTACCAGTCCCTACTGGTCTCCAGACTAGACAGGGCCCCTGTTCCTTATGATACTTCTACAGAAAGAGGGTACACCTGGATACTCAGGGGCTTACTCTCTCCACAGCACAACCCTGGAAGGCACAGTTTGTTCTCTGAATCAGGAGCACTGATCTTCCCAATTGTGTACCAGTGTTATGCTGCCTGTCACAGAGTAGCTTCCCCTGGAAGTGGGAGGACCCAGTAGTATATTTCATTGCCTAGATTCTGTTCTGTCATTGGCTATAATATCCTGCTTCGCCATTGGTGGAATCCTTTTCCATTGATTATATCCTGCTTTAACATTGGCTGCATCCTTCTTCATTCACTAAATCTTGCTTTGTCATTGGCTCTATGCATTGATTTTTCTTTTTTTTTTGACAGCCCTGGGACATGTACTCTGGGCCTGTGCAGTGTCCCTGAGCATCTTTGGCTCAAGACTAGCATTGTACCACTTGATCCACAGTGCTACTCCTGGTATTTTCTGTGGCTAATTGGAGATAAGACTCTCATAAACTTTCCTGCCCTAGCTGGCTTTGAATTGCAATCCTCAGATCTCACCCTCCTGAGTAGCTAGGATTACAGATATGAGCCACCAGTGCCTAGCTCTGGCTGTATCCTTTGTCACTGGATACCTCCTGCTTTGTCATAGTTTCTGTGTTCCCAGATGAAAGCATTTAAATTCACAACACCTATAGCAGATAATAGCCAGGGGAAATGGGATAATGAAAAGTTTTCTGGCTTCTTCCTACCTC